ACTTTGTCCTCCCGGATCTCGAAATCTGAGCTGTTTCCCCCGAGTCGGAGGGCCCCGGAGGCGCGGCGGTGCCTCCCGGAGGAGTCCCTAGGGAGGCGAGAGTCGGAGCCAGGCGCCCCCATCCCGGCCACACCCCTCAGCCTTGGCCCCTCCCCTGCTCACCTTTGAGGGCTCTTATTGATGGACGTCACTTTCCAGGGGGATCTGGGAAGACCAGGGAGGGCCCTGTCACGGTTGCAGACGGTGTGCACCGCTTCTAAACCCACCCACAACCAGGCGCCCCCCACCCTCCAGGCCCCGCCCCTTCGCCCCGCCCCGCCGGCCGGCGCACTTGGGGATGGTGATGGCGTTGTGCAGAAAGTTTTCAAACTTCTTTTGGAACGAGGCCTCTTGCGCCTCCAGTGGCGGCAAGACCTGCCCCGGAGGTGGGTGTTGGCACGGGCAACAGCCGGGCTCCATCTCCGCCTCGAGTTCCCCGTCTTCCTGGTCGAAGCGGGGGTCGTTGTTGCTGGTGGGCAGCCGCAGGCCTGGCGCAGGGGAGGGAGGCCGTTAGACGGGCGGTCCCCAGGCCGGGCGCCCCGTCCCCGCGCGCTCACGCCTCCTCCCTGCGCACCGCGGTGGCAGTAGTCATTGAGGTACAGGTCGCTGTCTTCTGCCAGGCGCTGCCACAACACCAGGTAGTAGGTGATGTTGCCATTCCGTTGGGTCGGTGGCTTCCAGCGCACCAGCAGGTGGGAGGAGGAGTTGGACGTGGAGATGACGTCTTGGGGGACGGTGGGCGCTGGGGTGTGAGGAGGGTACCACTGAGAAGCTTCGGATCCCTTTTCAAATAGTCTGGCCCCTGTCTCTGAGTCCAGCCCTCACTTGTCCCAAGGAATAGGTGACTCTCAACCTCCTCGTCCTACAACTGAGCAATTTTGTTCGTTCTTCCCTCGTCCCCAAAGGCCCTTGATTTGGCCCAGTTACTCCCCCTGCACTCTCCACCCACAGCCTCTGATCTAGGAGAATTCTCCCTTTTATTTTCTTTTTTTTTTTTAAATCCTCACCCGAGGATATTTTTCCCCTTTGATTTTTAGAGAGAGTGGAAGGGAATGAGGGAAAGAGGGCGGGAGGGAGGGAGAGAGAGAGGTTTGTTGTTCCACTTATTTATGCATTTATTACTTGTATGCACCCTGACTGGGGATCAAACTCACAGTACTGGTGTATCTGAGGACACTCTAACCGACAGAACTACCTGGCCAGAGCCTGCCCCCTCTTCCTCCTAGGACTCAAGCATCTGGCCTCCCAGCCTCTATGGGCCAGGTGTTCGGTGACTCAGCATCTCTGTTTCTGGTGCCTGGGCTCCCCCATCCTCACTAGGACCCGGGCATCTAGCTCCCACTCCCTCAAAGGCCTACCTGCAGGCAGGGTTCGGAGGTAGATGATGGGGCTCTGGCTCCTTGGTGGGGGCTGTCCTCAGCAGTGGTCAGCGTGATGGCCGGCACAAACACTGCGTACTG